TGCATTTGATTCCTTTAAACAAATCAATAAGGAGTAAGTCTGTTCAAATAGCCCTGGTGCACAGAGCTGGGAAACTGGCTTTCTTCTCTACATGGTCCACTAGATATTGAAGAAATGAACAGGGATTGGAAAATCTAAGATCATTCACTCTCGCCACAGGAAGCTCATTTACACTTCCCAGGGTGTGGGAGCAGGTCAGATACGCAAACAACAATCGCATCTGTTTTTCTCATTCCTGCCTGCTTACTCCATCCATCGCCTAAGAAGACCCCGGCTCCAGAATACTCTCTCCCCCGACAGGCTGGATCAAGCTTTCCATGGATCAAAAAGTAATTGTATTGGCTTAAAAGTCCTACTCTGTCCAATTTCTGCTGACTAAATAAGTGAAACTTCCTTGTTGTCCACAAAGCATGCAATTATGCAGAATGGGCAATGATGTCAACAAGGCCTTGACCATCAAGATATGTCTGGGGAGACATTTCCCATCAAGCACTGCCCTTCCCAGACAGAGCCAGCCAGCAATGCACCATCCCAACAATAATCAATATTTCTTCTTGTGTAAGAGACCCTCAATACTATTCAGCATGCTCTTTCATTCTAACTCAAACCCTATAAGGGCAAGAGAGGTTGGTTTGGTTTTATTTCCGAGGGCCTACTATGTGCTGGCTACTGTGACAGTACAATCTTTTTTTTTTTTTTCCATTTTCTCACTCACTTTCTAGCCTTGTGTCTCTTTTCTTCCAAAAACACCCACAAATGATACTCTCAGCTCGTTTTCTGGTCTCCACTCTTCGGCTTAAGGGGAGGAGACCTGAAAACATCAGCATCTCATCTTAGAAGCAGGAAGAACCAAGACTTCCTCTGGTCAATCTGCTTCACATCTTGAGGGGAAGAGATAGTATGTCAAATGGAGACACATGGGCATGAGTAAAGCCATTACTCCAGCCTGAGTAAGCCATTCTCCGGGTAAGACAGGAGGCGAGGAGAAGCAGGGCAGAAGCTCCTCAGCAATTCCTCAACCTCTTCCCTCAGTCCCTCCCTCTGGGGGACAGGACAAACCAATAGACAGAGTAACCAGATTCAGTCTGGGCCATTTATAGTCGGCCCCCCAGCTATCCATCATCTCAGAGAATTGCTTGGGTCTTTTATTTCTTCTCTACCACATTTCCTATGGTTCCTGCACTCTTGGCAGGCAGGGAAAGCAGGAGGCAAAAGGCAGGGGCCATAACATGGGGGAGTCCAGAGCGATGGTCAGGATGGGGATATCACTGGCAAATAGAAATCTGGAGATGACCCCTGAATTTCAAATATCCATGATCACGGTTCCACAAGCTGAGTAACTGAGGGCCCTTAACATTTTTTTTATTATTATTTTTTACATCCTGTGTTGCTCAATGTGAAAGGATAATGACTATTCCCAGGTGGATAATGGATGGGCTGTATGCACTTACAAGGGTTCCGGCACCAGACTCTGTAACAGCTGCCGTCGGCTAATGATCTCTACATATATCTAACCTGCTAATGTCCACTTAGTTCTTTGTGCCTACTTGTCTAACAAGCTCAAATGTCCACTCTGAATACTTCAGCTGTACAGCTAACGTCAGTATTGCCTACAGTGAGATTTATTTTCTCACTTAAGGAAAAAAGTTATTCATTCGAGACTAGAGTTCAGGTGGACAGAACTGCCTTCTAGATGCTCCAATGTCAAGGGCAGGACTAAGACAGGACTGTTCTAACAAGGCAAGGAGAGAAAGGGAGGCATCAATGGTTTAAGAACACAGCAAGAAGGTCTATGGGGCAGGGTGAGCCCTGTGAGAGGAGACTCAGCAGCAGTGACTTCAGCAGAAGCAATCCAACCTTTTGCTTTGGATGCCCTCACTCTCCCTGGAGGCTCTCTGCATCTTGACCTTTGGTGACCTCAGGATTTTCTGGCAGCCACTGAAACCAGGAATCATCTTTTTAGCAATCTGCCTGGCATGGCTTTGTGACTTATCTTTCAGGCCTCATCACAATTATTCATGCTCTGGCAGGATCCTAGCTACAGTCACAGTAGTCCTGTGGGCTGATGCTGAAGGTTACTTTGTCCCAGACAATGAAGAAGGGAGTGCTTTTCCTCAGAACCCTGGCTCCGGGGGACAGGCTCCCCAGAAGGGTTTGTTCAGAAAGCTCCTTGCCTTTCAGCTTTGTGAGCAAGCTGACACAAAGTAGGAATGAACCCCAAGTCATCAGTGAGTTGGTATTGTAATGTACCATCACCATCTGCTCGGGACAGGATGGCACAAGCTCAAATGCTTCACCTGAGTGTTTACCTCACCCCTCCCAATGACAGCTAGTTTCTGGGCTTTTCTTTTTTCTTCTTCTTTAACATCCTGCTTCTATTCTGTGGCCTATCCTTCCTGCTTTGTATATTTTAGGTTACTTTAGACATGACCTCACATCCTGGACAGTTGTGCAGTAGCTGCTAATTTCTGGAGCTCTGCTAATGGACTATACATTTAATTCAAGAGAAGAATGGACCATAAGAAGCAAAATCCAGAAGACAATGAGCTAGCTTAGGTCAAAGTGTGGGCTCTGGAGAGGACAGCTCTCCCATAAGGGTGGAGATCATAACAGCTACTGTCTCACAAAGGGTATTACTAAGATTAATACCGGACAGCAACCACTCATGACTTAGCACAATGGAAGCTGTTCTTATGGCTTCCAAATGCTGGAATGGCTTTCACCACCAGCTCCTGCCTAGATATTCCACTCCACCTGCTTCAATCTCCTTCCCAGCCAGTCATCTCCTCCTTAATCAAGAAGAACCCAGACAGTAATGTATCTTCATTGTTCTATGTGTGTGTGTGAGAGAGAGAGAGAGAGAGGGAGGGAGGGAGAGTGTGTGTGTGTGTTTTACATTTTCCCCTGTTCACACCCCAAGCTTCTCTAAGATCTAGAAGCTCCACCTTTCACACATGCCTCAGGTAGAGCATAACAGGAGGGCACAATCACCAGGCTGGACACTCAGAACAGAACATGGAGGCCGCCCCTGGGATCCAGCCTCAACTTACTTAGGTGGGCAAGCCCCTCTCAGTCAGCAAAGCATGGCTCCCTTGCCCGTTCAAGTCTCTGATAACAAGATAGCAGAAGCCACCAGAAGGAAGCACTTAGTCACCGACTGTGTGCCCTCCATCCCATCCTCATCATGCCCACCCCTTCCCCAACTACCAAGACGTTTGTCTGTGTTGTTCGCTCCACATTGTGGGTCTGCCTTGTCACCTCCCTCAGTTGCTCCTGCTGACCCTGCTATCATTTCCCCTCTTGGATCTCCTCCAACCCCCCTTGGTGAGCACAGAACTTCTGTACTTGGCCCATCTTCTGTCTCTGTCACTTTAGCTTTTAGGTTTTAAACTTGCTACTCTGATTTCATGTGCTGTCAAGAACACCCCCCCCCAAACACACACACACACACACCCTTGGGCCTTGAGTCTCATGTGGAACTTTCCAGATCATCTGAGTGGAAATATTTCATGGAATGCTCAACCACATAAATTCTATTTCTGTACCAACCAGCAGTGCCCTGTATGTAGGATCATCTGTTTAAGCAAAGGCCCTGTCATTTGTCATGGCAGTTTTATTTATGAGTCTGTGTACTGTAACCCTGTGGCATAAATATTAAATAACAACATCCCTTGGGAAAAAAAAATCATTCCCATTACCTGACAACTTCTTATGGAAATGTATAGTAAACCCAACCACAAAAAATGGTGTTGGTTAATTCTAAAATACACACACGTATAAGTAAGAATTGTTCAACAGGTAGAGAGAGGGGCACAGTTACAATTTGCATTTTTACTCGGTCTTCCTTAAAGAAATGAAGCGGCCAAGAAGCAAAGTGTGTTTAAAACAGCAGCAAACTTGGGTTAGGCGACAACTTTCTTCAAACCCAAATCCCAGTTCCCATCAGTGTCTTCTCAGCAGCTGAGCTTTTCAGAAAACTAGACTCCACCACTGGCAGCACCACCTGAATGGGGTTCCAGACAGTGACACTGCTCGTCTTTTAAACATTCTGTGAATTTCCTATTACATCAGTTTCATGATTCAGCATTTTTCTTTTCATTTATTTACAGTAATCTACGGCGAGATAACCCAAGCTTTCCGCAGAATCCTGGAACATAAGGTAGGTTAGGAGCAAGGGTGGAGTCTTCTGTAAATTTGCTATTGCTCAGAACTCAGGAACAAACCGGAGAGAGCAATTCATTCAAAAACTGGGAAATGCCTCCTCACCTTACTCTGAGGGTCTCAATTACTCTGGTGTTTAAAATAGGTTACTGCCATCTAGTTCGTAAGTCTAACAGAAGGCAAGAAGTGTGCAAATTGCAAACTGACGTGCATAAGCCAAACGTAGCTCTGAAATGACAACGTTCAAGACGCAGCTAAAGTCACCACTCTGTCGGTAAGCATGGTACAAAGAAGTAGATTTCGTTCTGGCATCCGCAACTTGGCTGGAGTGACCAAGGAGTTGAAGAGCCTCCGCAAATGCGAGGTGCAGTGGCACAGGAGGTCCTGGCCAGGAGGACCCGGGGCAAACTCAAAGGACGGTCGGGGCGGGTGGCAGGGGAAAAGGAGAAGTTGGGCACAAGAAGGAAAGGCGCTTCAAGAGGGTGGATGAAAAGCCCAGGACGGGTGGGGACGGGGTGGGGAGCCACGCTCCAAGGGACGGGAGGCGAACGCAGGGTAGGGAGGGTCCGGTGGCTGGGGACAAGAAGGGTAGTCTAGGGGCACCTGGTCTCCAGAGAGGCAATGAGAAAGAGGAATGGACTCCAGCAAGAGTAGCCGGCAAGTCCGGTCCACGCAGCCGGGTACTCATCCCAGGGGCTGTGAGCGCCCGGGGCGCGGTGGAAAGGAAGAGAGAAAACTCACGGCGACGTTCCCACCTCCTGCGGCTGGGGTCCCAGGCCACCCCATCCCGTCCCCAGGGCCCGCGCAAAGGAAGGACCAGAGTAGGGTCCAGTGCTCACCAGGTAGCAGAGAAGGAGCAGCGCGCTGGCAGGGCGGCCGCCGAGGCCCGGGGGGACACTGCCGCTCCAGGGGACCATGGCTGCGGCCCGGGGACCGAAAGCGGGCGGCGGGGGCTGCTGCTGCTGTCGCCGCCGCGGCCACCAAAGCCCCGCGCCGCGCCACTGCATGGCAGGGCCGCCCGGATCCCGGCCGGAACAGGTCACCTGGTGCAGGGACCGGCCCCCGCCCGAGGCGCCACCTTCCCGCCCGCCCCCGGCCGGCGGCCCGCCGCGCGCCGGGCCACCTGCCGCTGCCACCGGACCCGCCGCCGCCGCCGCTGCTCCCGCCGTCGCCCCCGCAGCCCCAGCCGAGCGCCGGCTCCTCCCCGCTCGCAGTCCCGTCCCCTCCCTCCCTCGGCCTCCCTGCCCAGCCCGCCTCCTTGGTCGCTCCCTCCCAGCCCCCGGCGTCCACCCCTCTGGGCCGTGGGCGCCCACGCAGGTGGGGACCGCGTGGTCCCGCCCCCCGGCCGCTGTTCGCCGCCGGGTCCGCGGGGCTCTCGGCCGCCCCCATCCCTTTCTCTTGCTTCTTCCTCCGCCCCTTCCGCGCCCTTGCAGCCCGCGATACCCCACCGCCACCTCACCCCTTCTGCTCCCCACTTTCTCCCTTTCCTCCACGTCCTTTCTCCCTAACTCCCTCCCTTCTCCGCCTCTCCCTCCCGCATCTCCCGCTTGTGCCCACCCTGCTGCTTGCCGCTCGTTTCCACTTCGCGCCCGGGCACTAGGCAGTGGGGTTTGTTTGGTGGCTTGGGGGCGGGGGACGTGGGGGTTGTGGCAGGGGCGCCATTCTCGCAGGGCGGGGGCAGAGGGTGCTTTCTTGGAGTTGCGCCACGTGGCCGTTTGGCTTCTACTCCTTAGGGATGGATTTTGACCCCTGCCAACCTCCACCTGTACACCTGCAGGGCTTGGGGCCGCTTTCCTGCTCGCATGTTTAGAGCCCAGGCTGTGCCCCACCCTGCAGCCTGATTGGCGACACGTTCTGGATGTTTCCCCGGGGTTTTGTGCGGTGCCGCCGCCGCTGCCGCCGCGCTCTTTGTTTTAATTGTCCGGAGTATTGGCGCCCAGAGCGGGTTTGTATTTGATTTGCATCCCTGAGCTCTGGCTTCCACTTGGACAGAGAAGAAAACGAATTAATTAGGCCAGTACAATCCTACCCAAGCCCCAAATGAAAGGGGGTGAGGCCCTTGAAGTGCGCAAACAGTTTTGTTTTGGTTTGGTTCTTTTTTTTCTCTCGAAAATCAGGACACATCCTAGGCTTTTGGAGAGGAAGGGTGGAAAGGGCTGCTAGTAGACCTGAGTTCTGTAGCCAGTCGCAGATGAGATGAGCCTCCAAGACAGGGCAAGCAGCTCAGGGCGTGCCCTGTAGTTCCGGGAAGGGCTTGGCTGTCTCTGCCTCGGAGAAAACTGCTTGGGGGCCTAGGGTTAGTGCTGTGATATAGTTACCCACCTTGGAAAGTTCCGCCCCTTTGGCACTGGTGTGGATTTATGCGGATAGGAACTATTAATTGATTGGAAGCTACAGAACACAATCCTTTCCCTGAGAAGTTGTCACTACTGTGGGCCGAGTCATGCCAGTCTTGTGATGTGGTGCGGGCAGGCTTGAGGATAAGCCCATCGTAGGTTATCCCAGATTCGGCACAGTGGGCATATCAGCAGAGAGCTGGGTTGCCCTTGTTCATTTTTTTGTTTCTTAGGTTGCCTGTGAGTTGTGGGCCTGTGATACCCCAGTCAGAGCTAGAAGGCTCTCAGACCTTAGCTTAGGGCATCCGGAGAGCAAAAGCAGAGAGATGGTGGAGTACCCCTGGGTAGCGCTGAGGTGGAACTCAGTGGGTCCTGGGTGGTGTTGAGAAGCCTCTTTGTGAGTGACTTTCCAGGTGGGTGATAGTATCTAATCAGGGAGGTCTCACTGTCCAAATCATGCGATTACAGGAAGGATGCTGCCTGCCTAGCCAGCTGCAAATACAATGAGGCACTTGGGAAGTTGGACAGATGTTGACAGGATTCCTGTCCCACTTCCACAGAGACAAAGCACTTAAAATTCTCCTCTGTGATGCAGGAAACTATTTATTCCATTTAGTGTCCAAGGGAACAAAAGATGGGGTGGCTTTGTCCCAGATCCCATCTGTATTTTTTCCATCAAAAGAAAAATACTCCACAGATTTTTTTTCTGTTTTTTTTTTTTTTTCTTCTTTTTATTTTTTTGAGACAGGGTCATGATTCTATGTACCCAAACTGGCTGGATACATAAAATCTTCCAGCCTCGGCTTCCTGAGTGCTGGGATTGCATGCAAGAACCACCACATTAGCCTGTTAATATATGTGTGGAAAAATGTTGGCTTGTTTAAGAGAACTGGGGTCAGAGGCAAGAGAGAATTTGTGGATGTCCACCTGTCTTTCTGGACCTTCCTTCAGAGTTTCTGTCCTTTCTTGTGGGCCCGGCCTCCTTCTACCCTCAGGGAACTGAATAGTCTCCCCTGTGGCTTGCAGTCAGAGACAGTTTTCAAAGCTTTGTCAGCTTTCAGCAGCTGCATTTTCCCAAGTGAGTCCATTCAGAGGTGTCTCACTGAAGCTGGGCCAAACGGAATGTAGCACTCTGTATCCAGCTGTGTATTTGCTGGTCTTCTGTAGAGTGGGTACTATCCCACTCTTCAGGAGTTCAGAGGTGGGCAGGACCATCCATTTTCATCTGGAGCAACGGACATGCCTCAGAAAACTGACCTAAACAGTTTGGCCCTCTAAAATGATCACTGAATGACTTTGTTGCCCAGGGAATGAGAATGGGTTTGCCTGGTGGCTCCTGTGTTGGAAAGGGGCAGAGAAAGGTCAGGAATTCTTCTCAGGGTAGCCTTTTGGTCTAGAAGACACAATCGCTTATTACCCTTGCTGTAGTAGATAATTTGAAGGGTGTGGCTTCAAGGAGAAAGCCTCTTATTTAGAAACAAATATGTTTTCCCAGTTGCCTAGTGGAAAGACTTGAAACTCCATACTTACAATTCATTGGTTTGAATTAAGGGTTTATACATCACTAAAATCCAAAGGCCCCCAGGAGGAGGCTGCTTAAATCTGGCCTCCCTTGTGCCTACCTTAGTGTAAGACGTTTATCATCTCCCCGTTAAGGAGACAGGGAGAGAAGAGTAAATCCATACACGACTCCAACAGAGACCAAAGGAGCCAAGGGGGTTCAGGTGATCCAGTGGGAGAAGCCAAGGATCTAGAGCCATGGGGAATAAGAGCCCCGGTTTGAATAGCCCCACTCATCTCTGGGATCTGCAAGGACCATCCCTCAACCCACTGTTTTCAAACTCTGAGATGGTTTTAGATCAGCAAAATCTTAGGGAGTGTAACTGGCCAGTTAGAAATTTGATGAGTAAAAATATTTGGGAAAAAAAAATCTAAAACATATTGTATTCTGTCAACATAATTTTACCCAAAGGACAAGCCTCCCCCCCCTTTTTTAAGTCAAAGAATTAGGGAGGTACAGAAGAATTGGCAGTGCGTGCCAGGCTAGCACTTGAGGACCTGAGGCAAGAGGATCAAGCCCACACGGCCAGTCTACAATCCATCCTAGATACTGGCTCAACAGCTTAGCAGGTACTTGCCGCCAAAACTGATGGCCTGAGTGCAATCCCCAGGACCTATGTGGCAGAAGAAGAGAACTAACTCCCACATGTCCTCTGATCTGTACACACAAACTATGGTGCATGCCTTCCCTAACAAATACACAAATGTAGTAAAAATTATGTTGTAATTAGGGAGAATCCAACATTGTAATAACAGATCATTTCAGTTCATGATAGACCGTCAGGGCTGGAGAGATGGCTTAGTGCATGAACACTTGCTGTGAAATCATGAGGACCTGAGTCTGGAACCCCAGCACCCACAGGAAAGCCATACATGGTCCTGCCTGTGACCCCAGCATTGGGGAACCGAGACAGGGGCATCCTTGGAGCATCTAGGGCATCCAGCCAGCCAGTTCAATGAAAACGGGGAGATCCATGTTTCATTGGTAGACTGACCATGTCTCAAGAAGAAATAAGATGGAGAAGCAACAAAAGATGTCCTGTGTGGACCTCTTCCCCCCACATCTGTACACATTCACAACACACAATACACACCATAGATAGATGATGACAGACAGACAGATAGACAGATATATATATATTCCTTTAAACAAAATGTTATTTTCTTGTGAAGAACTCACAACTTGTCTTTGTCCCCTTTCTGCTGAGGGCAGTAGAAACTCACCTTTGACCTAGTATGGTCCATATGGACACTTGGAAACCATGTCCCAGGCAAAAGGCATACCCAGCATAAAGAGATCTATTCCCACAGAGGCACATGACTCCTGGGCTTTAAGAGGTGGAAAGAGATTCTGTGGACTGTGGAATATCCCTTTCCCTGATTTCCTCCCAAAGAAATCTCCAGGGCCCAGGGAAAGGCCACCGACTCTAGGAAGCCTTTTGCCTTAACTAGGGTTACTATTGCTGGGATGCAACACTATGACCAAAGTAACTTAGGGAGGAAATGGTTTATTGCTTACACTTCCACAGCGCTGTTCCTTATCAAAGGAAGTCAGGACAGGAACTCAAGCAGGCAGGAACCCGGAGGCAGGAAGCTGATGCAGAGGCCATGGGGGAGTGCTGCTTACTGGCTTGCTCTTCATGGCTTGCTCAGCCTGCTTTCTTATAGACCCCAGAACCACCAGCCCAGGGGTGGCCCCACCCCAGATGGATGGTGCCCTCCCACATCAAACCCTATGAAAATGCCCTACAAGCCTACCTACAGCCTGATCTTGGGGAAGCATTTTCTTAGTTGAGGCTCCCTCCTCTCCAATGACTCTAGCTTGTGTCAATTTGACACAAAACTAGCCAGCACACCTTCTCTCCTGCTCTGCGTTCAAAACACAGTTACCGGCCACTTCTGCCTTACACTGTGCTTGATCGGTAGCTTATTCTCCTCAAAACAGAAGGTCTTGGAGACAGAAGGTCAGGACACAGCAGGGCATGTGTCCTGAGCACTGTTGCATGCCTAGGACACTCCTCTTGCACAGACAACTCACTGAAATCCTTCTCATGCTTGTTGGCTTTCCTTCCGTTCACCTTCCTTCCCTGCTTCTTTTCTTCTCACACCCATGTTATCTCCCAGTCTGTTTCCACATGCAGGCTCCCTTCTCCTTTCTGTAGTTTCA